ATAACATTTCCAGTAAATCTTCTTGGTTTTGTCCTTGTTTTTTCTCATTATATGCCTGTTGTTTGGATGTGTATCCTTCTGTTTTTTTCTTCTCTCCAGATCTTTAGCTTGGCACTGCTTGTTCTAGCAATGGTCTTGGACTTCTACCTTTATAGTATGAACTCGTAGAAAAACCTCATGCAGGTGTTTTAAGTTTTTGCTACAACATTATGATTGTTTGGATGCACATTAATTTGTACTAATTTTTCATCTCTGTGTTTTCTGTCTTTTTAGAGGCTCTGAATAAGTATATGTATCTTGCAAGCCTTTGCTTCTAAAAAAAAAGTTCCTGATCAGATACAAAATCAAAGACAACATTCATAGGCAGTGTAGAAATAACTGTTATGGTGAGACAGTATTTTTAGGAGTCAATACAACAGGGCAGTTCAAGATGACAAACAGGAGTATGCTTTTTTTCTGCCACTACCGAGTGTGGTATTTTCAAATTCATCCTCTAGCTCATAATATGCAACTACTTCAGCTTGAGAGCAATTCCTAGTTTAGCTTCAGACTGACCTGAAAGAAAGGAGAAAGCATAATAGCCCTGCACTCACATTCACACCCATTCAAATGTAGTTGCCAGGTGGTAATAGGGAAGTGTTTAATATAATTCCTTTTCTTCCTTAAAATTGTAAATGACTGTAAGAGGTTAAGGTCTATGTAGAATCATCTATCCTTCCCTTAATCCCTGCCTGCAAAGGAGGAGAGGAAGGGAAGAAAGGCACAAAAAAGTGCTAACTTGCTTTTTTTCTCTTTTCAACAAAACATAGAATCACTGAACAGTTAAGATTGGAAGGCACCTCTGAAGGTCATCTTGTCCAACCCCCCTGCTCAAGCAGAGTACTTATTGTAAAGCTTGTAATTATTACTTTATTGTACCAGCAACTGAATGTATACAATGTGGTTCTGTAAGAGTACAGAGAAATTCTGTCACATTGAAGGACATATATTCATGTAACATCAGTCTGAATATATGACTGTTGAATATTAAGTTCCTGTCTCGTTGTGCAGAAGCAATAGCAATAGTTTTCCATGTACAGAGTGTACCTATACTCTCTCTTCAGATCTGCTTCCCTTTGGACTGGCTCATATAGCCTCCTTAAAGGAATTCACTCTGAATTTACATCTGAGGGTCCAGCAAATTTATCTTTTCAGTTAGTTCTCTTCACTGAGAAATTGTTTTACTTTCCAAAGATCTTCAGTGCACCTTCCCATTAAAAAAATTATTTGTGCAAAACTTTTATTTTATTAGAAGTTAGAAATAAAACTTACGGAATAAGTGAGAACTTGAAAATTGTCAACACTGCCCATGACATTTATGAAAATGGATTCAACTTTTTTTTATGTGATTTCTGAAGGTTTTAGAATCTTATTTCTACAAATACTAATTGATAAGTACTTATTTGAAGAAGTGCATGAATGAAATTACATTGTTTAAAGTTGGCAGTTTCCCTCATTATCATGGCGAGCTGTATTATATTATTGATGCTACATTCTATATAACAAAAAGACTTATTTTAATTGTAACATATTTTTGAAAAAATTATGATTAAAACTCATTCAGAACTAGGGAATTTACACTTTTTTTTTTTTTTATATCAGTGTTTTAAAGGGCTTCACTATGGTTAGATTACTAAGTCAGGTATACAATAAAGCTTTTTACAAAACTGTTAAGAACTGAATCTCACATTAACAACAAATTTTTATGATTTAAAATAAGCATGTTTTCAACTAGAAAAAAAAAGGTATATAATATATACTTTGTAGAACACAAAGTGGAACTAGTCTTTTAAGTCCTTTTGGTACACTGGAACACTGAGAAACAAACAAACAAAATTTAAATCATTGCTGTTTAAACCATTGCTGCTTATGTTTGTTGGGGTTTGTTTTTATTAAGAATTGTCACAGGAAAGCTAATCCAGATTAATTTTAGTTGAAAAGCTATATGTAGTATAACATCAACTTTTCATCCAGTCACTGAGTTAGTACTTCTGTGGATGTTGTACGATATTAAGCCAAAATTTCACATTGTTTTGATACCATAGATATATTCAGATACGACTTTTGAAAGCAGTCAGGACAGACCTGAGTCTGCTTTAACTGTAATTTGCATCAATTATACAACTGAGTTTTGTGGAAGCAGATAAACCAGTCCAAAGTCAAAGCAATTTAAGAAAGAACAGAAGATGAACCAAAGATGAACTTTTTCAAAATGAATGTTATATATTTTGATTAATATTAAACGTAAACCATAGCACAGATACCTTTAAAACCTATGACAGGCAAGAAGATTTATGACAGCCGTGCTCCTCACCCTGCCGCAGGATGTGGCCACGTTCCTGTCACTCTTTGAGGCATGGGAGATAAAGGAGAGAAATGCTGGGAAAGTATTTGCAATCATAAGAACATAATAATAAGATTTTCAAATATTATGAAGCATTTGTATGAACATTTGTATAAATTAATGTGTTGCAAGTAGGAAAAAGTAAGACTTGGAACTAGTAAGGCAGTAGAAAGGATGGGAAATGCTGAATGAAAAGGAGATTGTCAACCACAAAGACATAAAAATATGTGACACTCAAATACTTAGGTCTCAGACATCTCACCAATATCAAGAAGATGAAAAATGAAAACCAAAGTCTTCCCCACAACTATGGCAAATTACTGTGAATATAATTGTACAAAGGAATGATATCATTGCTATAAAGATTTCATCTGCCAGTGAAAATATTGTGTAGGCTTTTCTGGCACTGAATCTTTCAGGATGGAAAGCTTGCCACATCAAAAAGTTCCAATGACACTTGAAATGCTTTTTACATCAATGAAAAGTGTCTCTCCATGGTAAAGACATCTTAACACTGCATGGAAAAAAAAAAAAAAGAAAAAAATCCTAAAAATACAACAGCAACAAAACAAGTACAAATCCCTTTAAAAATACAGATTAAAAGACCCTAATTTTTCTCATCTGCATTCTGTTTAGTGGTTAAGAAGGTATAAAGAGGAAAACTTACTGTATAAGATCTCTAGAACTGGACTTTATAGATCTTACTGGTATTAGATCTGCTGAAATATCTGAGCTTTTCTGTAAACTAGAATAAAATATCTATTTCTTCCTGGCAATTCAGAATGGTAAGCACAAATGACTAAAGTTTACAAAGAAAGTCATCAATTAGATGGGTGGATGTACTGAAGAAGTATGTTTTGGAAGATGTATCAGAAATTGATAACACATAATATTTACTAGGAATGTTGATGTTAAAAAAAAAAAAAAAAAATAAATCATGTGAAATGTCATCTTCCAGCATTGCTGGTGAGGCAATGCATAAAAGATACATAATTTCATTGCTGGGCCATTATTTTTGTTTTTTATAGAGTGGGTTTAAAGTCTTTTTGAAGAAAAGATAACTTTGAAGTAATATTTGTCTGTTTATCTGCCTATCCATCCATGTAATTATATACATTGAATTCTGGCTTATTTCATAATAGCATTCTGAAGAACAGTTCTATAATAAAACAACCCATACAATAGGCAATGAAATCAACTGCATAAAAATTAAAATGTTCCCCTTCTTTTGAAAATAGTTTTTGCATTTCCATTTAAGAGTTCTGTCACATAGGCTAAGGAAGCATATATTGCTGTTAGTATGTATTGATTTAGAAGTCCTCAAGAAAACAATTTTCAAATTATATTTGAAAGGGTAAGTAGATATTTTCTTAAAAGTCAGTTAAGCAGGAATATGAAAGCCTAAACGTTATTCTTAATCTGAAAACAGATGACTGTGTATCAAGGAGGTGGAAGAGAAAGAGGAGGAAGATGGTAGTAGTAGCCCATTAAAACTTTTATATTAAATCAGGTTATATTGTGGTTTGGTGTCTATTACAGCAGTATTCATGCAGTCTTCTGTCAGAAAAATCTTGGTTTTATTTTGGCAACAGCATCACACAAGGCAATTGTGACTGACCCATTTCCAATCTAGACTGACACCTCCTTGAATGAGCTGCGTGTGTGAACCATTACTGACTTGACTCTTTTCCCCCTAATTTATTGATCCAATACAAGTCATGAGAGTCCTGTATAAGGTGACCTGTATAAGGGTCATTTGAGTTCACAAACACAGTACTTGTTCTTCTGAGAGTCACACCATTCAAAACAGTCTGTAGAATTACTGTCTGTTATGGAAATGTCAATTGTGTTAAAACATTAAAATATTTTTTTCTGAGATTTCCAATTAATTACAATTACCTAAGCATCAGCTGTCATAAAACAAATACAGGAAGCAGGTTCAGGTGTGGAATATGTTTATTTTGAAGTGTAATACTGTTTTTTCAAGGTAGAAGACTATACAAAATGAGTTCCTAACCCCATAATAATTTAATAATATTCATTATGTTTCTTATACTAATTTATTGAAGACTGTGTGCACTGTTTGCAGATTAAATAGCTTGAATTAACTTCTTTGAAGACTTTTTTCATTCTACTTTAATTCAAAAAATGACCTTTATAAGAATAAATACTCTTTTGACAGTCTTTTAAACCTTTCAGTAATTCTGCTCTAGCACAGCTGCTAATTAATTATGTTGAAATGTGTAAAATTACAATTTTTATCAACTATTATTATGTTGAACATAGCAAATATTTTTCTTAGACAGCATACTGATACCCTCAGTCTTGGAATGTTAAGTTGTAGTGTCATTTGTTATTAAATAATCCCATTTTTGCTCTGCAACTATATTGGAATTTTGGCAATGGGAAGATTTTACAGGGAAAACATGTATTTTGTAATTTTTTAAATCAGGTTCTATAAATGCCTCATCTTCAGGACTGTTTATTTCCATTAATTGCTGAATGGTTAATTTCTAAACATTCTTTAGCCTCCTGGCCTACAGCTTAAATGCTTTAGAAAATACTATATTTTTTTGGATTAATTTTATTAATAAATTTTAATTTTCTTTTATTCAAGACACTCTTTTTAATGGTCTTGGACTTGGTGCTGTCATTGGCCTGGGAGTGGCAGCCCTTTTGTTAATCCTGGTTGTGACTGATGTTAGCTGCTTCTTTGTACGACAATGTGGATTGCTAATGTGCATCACCAGGAGGATCTGTGGGAAAAAGAACGGTTCAAGTGGAAAAAGTAAAGAACTGGAAGAAGGAAAGGCTGCTTACTTGTGAGTATTGGTCACATATTTTGGAAACTTCATTAAAAGAAAAAGTCGGCTGTCCAACTTACATTTACTTTATGGCCATTTTGTGGTATGGCAAAGGGAATTAATAAAATGTTTTTATTACTTGGAAAAATGTTCCTCTGAAATGTATAGAATTGTTTGTGGTCAAATGTTGCCTTAAAAGAAAAAATGGTCACAGAAAAAGGCATTTACCATCTCTCACTTTAAGATGGCCTCTTTCTGCAGCTTGACACAAAGGAAATCAGTTGTAATTCAGTAATAGTTACAGGCACATCTTTGGTCCATGAGGAACAGGTAACAGATCATTTTAACTCCGATTCTACAAATCCATCTTTGAGCTTCTAATACCCAAAAACTCAGCATATGCTTGTGGCAGTGCCAGTAAATCTGGGAGTAAAGGACATAGTATTACAGAAAATCTGTGAAGGAGTTTTTCTTCTCAGATATAGCACTTGATGGAAAAACTTGTTTTTTAACCATAGACCTTAGGAATAAAGAGTATCATTGATTTTTAAAAATAGGAGTGCTGAGTTGGATGTGGGTGAAATGCTGGTGACCATGATTATTCTTCACAGCAACAGTCAATGACTGCGAAACATAAAAGGGGAATAAACAATCCTGATTCTCACAAATACCCTGTTGTAGTGGCTGTTTCATCAGACAAATGTGAATGAACTGATCATTTACGTGCAAATATGTTACCTTAAATGATAAGAGTTGATCATGAGAGCTCTGGCAAAGCTGTTTAAGTGCTGATTGCATACACTAATAAGACATTAAAGACCCAACCTTTACAGAGTTCTCAAAAGGTAAGATGGAGAGAGGATTACTTATGGTCCCTCATTTTAAGCAGTTCCATTATTACACTAAAAAAATGCATAGTTTCCTCATTAGATAGACTTCTTATGCATACACAGTTATTTTTGTGAGAATGCTGTCTTGTGGTTTAAATAACATTAGCTAGTCCAGTTTCTGTGTGCTGCAGTGCTGCATTTCCCAGTAGTTAGGCCTCGCAGTTCATTCTCCTGCACCTTCCCAGATCCCATCCTTCCCCAGATGCCTGTAAAGCAGGTCAGATTTTGCAGCCCTCATTATCTATAGCTGGACCGGGCTTCTTCCCTGTCAGCAGTAGAGATGTAAATGTCTTTCTTGAGTTTAGTTTGGGCTGTTTGGATTCAGAGGTGGTGTCTTTGTTAGGTAAGTTCATTTTGTTTCTTAGATTCTTTTGGAAACAGTTCCATAAAGCAAAACCAATCATGAGCAGGCACAGAGTATTTACATCAAATAATGTTTCTGAATATAATTTACACCCTAAAATAACAGTTTCCTAATTCTCCACAACTTACAGTAAGAGAAGGAATAACAGCATTTTTTCTGTTGTGCGAAGGCAGCGTGTCCGGGTCAATAGAATCAAGATGTGAAGCTTCTGGCTCTGGCTCAGCTGTCATTTCCTGTTGAGTGCACCTCTTCAGTTTATGCTTTGATTTCTCATTCAAGAAGTGACCAAATATGAATTGGTGTGCAGACCCTCCTGAATGGGAAGACCTTAGGGAGCCAAAGTTGCAAATGTCACTCGACAGCAGTTTATATGTTTCTATCAACACATCATATCCAAATGCCATTAGTCCATGCTGTCCCAGAAAGCATAAAGCTGGTGACTTAGCATTTATTCCTCTGTGCAAGAATAATCCTCTTACTTAATTATATTTTTTCCTTGTTGGGGTGATCTTGAGTCAATCAGAATTTAAAATATTTGAGACTGTTCTTAGTTCAACCTGTTTGCTGCATAAGTAAACTGTCAAGCTAAAATTTTGAAATAGGCTTTAAGTGTTGAAATTTGAAGTTATATCACGCTAACTTCCATTCCCTAAAATACACTGACATTTCCCTGGTTTAAATATGTCCGTTCACATTCTGGATTTGTGAGGGGATTTATGGTGCAATTCTTTGTTACTTTTGGATTGTAGGTTATGTATAGTTATTATTTTTGTCTTGCAGGTAATGAGTGTAGATGATACAATGTAATGTACACATAGCTACTTGGAACAGAAGTGACATAATGCATTTCCTACAAATCACTTCCCCTTCTGTGGAATTTTCATTTGTTATGCAGTTTTTCTACTTTCTGTACAGATCGATTCCTCAATCCTATGTGAACACTGTTTGTGAATAACGTCTTTTTTTAGGCTTCTGGTCATGCAATACTGTATGTTTGGCTGTAAGATTGTAGATGTACAGATAAACCAAGTAGAACTTGTAATTCCCTCCACAAGCCCTACTATGATCCATAATCTTTTCATAGATAGGGGGTAGCCATGAGTTATGTGCATCTTCTTCAGAAATGAACGTTGTATCCAATTGTGTGCCATAAAACAGAATTTCATTTGCAGAAGTGAATAAGGACAGGCAGTTTTTTTAAAAAAATAATCAGAATATATTAGACTTCTAGCCATTAGTTCTTCACTAGTCAACTTATTAGCCACACATTTATCTTAGCTACACTCTTATTAACCTACAAAGATTTTCCATGAGGATACCTGCCAGAGAATGGTAAAATTTCTCCAGGGACTTCCTGAATAGATTGATTATTGTAGTTGAAACACTGTTTAATGATTATCTTCTCATGTACAATATGAAAATGTGAGATATTAATTAGACAGGGGTTCAGTAGGTCTTTACTATGGCACATAGCAGTCTGACTGCTCTCTAGAATGCCACAGGTCTGGAAAATAGTCTGTTAAATATAAAAGTGATTGTTCACTTTCAAAATTGTTAACCTGCATTTCCAAACTACAGCTGATGAAGTTCCTGGATGCAATTCCTTATCTGATGACAGGAATTGAGATTAAATATTTATGTAGAAAGAGGTTTTATTTTGGAAATATCAGATGTATCTTGGGTCTCCTTTGATCTGCCCTCTGATAGTAAAATTATATGCAAGTTAATTAGTAGTAATATTGTTAATACTTCTGTAGCAGTGAGCAGTTATTTCCACATCATGGCCATATTATTAAGAGCAGCACTGCAGAGAAAGACTTAGAGGTACTGGTGGATTAAAAGCTGGACTTGAGCCAGCAACATGCACTTGCGGTTCGGAAAGCCAACTGTATCCTGGGCTGCATCAAAAGAAGTGTGGCCAGCAGGTCCGGGGAGGTGATTCCGCTCTCATGAGATCCCACCTGGACTACTGTGTCCAGCGCTGGAGTCCTTAATCTGGGAAAGACATGAACCTGTTGGAGTAGGTGCAGGGGAGGGCCACAAAAATGATCAGAAGGATGGGACCCCTCTCCTGTGAGGACAGGCTGAAAGAGTTGGGGTTGTTCATCCTGGAGAAGAGAAGGCTCCAGCGTTCACCTTGTTGCAGCCTTTCATTACTTGAAGGGGACCTATAAGAAATATGGAGAGAGACATTTTAATAGGACCTGTTGCAATAGTACAAGGTGTAATGGTTTTAAAGACAAAAAGAGTAGATTCAGACTAGATCTAAAGAAGAAATTTATTTTTACAGTGACTGTGTTGAAACACTGGAACAGGTTACCCAGAGAGGTGGTAGATGCCCCATCCCTGGAAACAAATTCAAGATCAGATTGGACAGGGCTTTGAATAACCTGATCTATTTGAAGATGTCCTTGCTCATTGTAGTGATGTTGGACTTGATGACCTTTAAAGGTCCCTTCCAACCCAAATTATGGTTCTGTACAAAAGCGTAATGTCAATACTCATTGCTCCATCTTCCTTACAATTCATTGTCCCATTAGCACATTTAAATAACTGTGAGACGCTAGCATTTGTTCCTACAATGGGGAAAATATGACATAGAAAGAGTTTTTTCTACCAGTGTGAGCAGTAGGAGCTAGGTTCTGATAACAGAAGAGGTCTTTACCCTGTTCTGGCAGCTGGACATTAAAGTACACTTTTATACTAATATAAAGGTTCTTTGCACTGCCAGAAAACTTCATGCACAAGTAAGCACCACGGACTATATTTTATTATACTAGGTTAGGAAAGTTCATATCTATTTCCATGAAAAGCCCATCCTCTTATTACTTAGTCATTTAAAAAGTGCTCTTTTGAGATGCTATCTATGATGTTTACAAAGTTAGGTAAGTAAGCATGGATACAGGATGCTTTGAAGACTTCAAGGAATTGGGAACATGCTGTTAAACGTGTCTCGGTGGTGTTAGTCGCTGACGATTAGTTCTGCATTTTCTTTGCTGAGATTTGAGAGAAGAGATCTTGGTAATTAGTTTTGTGCAATGTATATGGTTAATTTGATGACACAAGACTAAGACTTTTAAAATAATTTTTAGGAAAGATGGATCAAAAGAACCAATAGTGGAAATGAGAACAGAGGATGAAAGAATTACCAATCATGAAGACGGGAGCCCAGTAAATGAGCCAAATGAAACAACTCCCCTCACAGAGCCAGAGTAAGTAGCCTGACATTCCCTGGAGTTTCACTCAAGCTCCTCCTGGCTTCTTGCACTCTGGGAGGGAGATATGGGGCATCGCAAGAATGTTGCTCTGCAGCAATGCAGTGTACAAGAGTGATTATTAAAATTATTTATTTTTGTTTTACAATAATCAATCTAAATCATGGTAACCCACATACAGTGACTGAGATTATCACTTGACGTTTTTCTCTTTCTGTGACCTGGAGTATAACCACATCTGGGCATTATCCAGCCCTTGGATGGGAACACCTGACAGTGGCAGTCCTGCAGTGTGTTCTTACACTGCCACCTGTTTGGAGGTTAGCAAGTAACCAGGGAAATTTTCTGGCCCTCCCTTCTGCCCTGACACCTGAGGAGCTCCTCCTGTTGTTTTGGAGAAAACAGACCTTGTGTCAGGGCAGGGGGCCACAGACAACACTGCTGACCAGGAGCCCCATGTAGGTTGTAAGTAGCCCCTGCCCATCCCTGGCCCTGGTGGCTCACAGACTCACACGCTGCTGCTGCTGCTCCCAGCTCTGCCCACAGCATTCAGGGGCTTGAGGGTAAGGGCAAGTCTCTGTCTGCACTCTCCGGCTCCTCGACTGCACCAGAGCTTACCCCAATGCTCCTCTCCTGCTCCTGGGTGACCTCCAAACCCTGCGAGGAACCGTGGCCAGCAGAGGCAGGCCACAGTCCTGTTGCCTTCTCTCAGCCCTGGCACCCACAGACACCTTCCCCCCACAGCACTCCTGGCCCTGCAGTGGTAGCTCTGCAGACGTACAAGTATCTTTTTAGTCAGGCGGATCTGATCTTTGCCACTTACCCATCAGTGATTAACCATGCTGCAGGAGTAATCTCCTGACTCTCAGATTGCCTTAGATTGCATTACATACACGTCCCCACATACATCCTGTACGTAGGGCACAATGATCTCATGCCCCAGAAACCCAGCTCCTCATAGGATGGTCCTTCCTGCTTTCACATTCACCCATCTGAGAGCTTAGCTCAGTATTTAAGTCCTCTGGATTAATAGGGCTGATGGGCAGCCACTTTGCTGGGTTCCCTCATGCCCTCTTGCTGTCTCTGCAAGCTGCTGCCAGCACGGAATCTACAGTGGTTCTCAGCCAGGCTCACAGGCTGCAGCTGCCTCCTGAGTCGCAGGGACCAGCCTTGGGCTCAGGGGTCCCAGGCTCTGGCAGTACTGTCCCCTCCTGTTCTGTGCTGCAGCCCCTGGAGCAGATTAAACTGGGTGGAGTGGTTGGTGTTTGGTCCTGAACAGCACTTTTCCCAGCATGTGTGGAGGATAAAGCAACATTTGTGAAAGGGCACAAACAAGCTGTTATTTTGCTAAGCTCACTATTACAATGCAAGTTTCTGATAGGCTTCTTTTTTCCTTCTGAAAATTTAGTTTGAAGAGATACTAATATTTCAACAAGCTAATGATAGTACTATTCCTTTTATTGAGAGCCCACCTAGTGGTGCGGAAGGACATGAACTGATTGCTCAAGAGTTTCATTTCTGAACCTCAAAAGTTGATCGATTTGAAATTATTAAATAAAGCTCCAAGTTTCTTTGGTTTGAGCCCAAAGCTCTTCATGAGTTGTGAAAATCTCCTATCTCATGAGATGTTAAAGTTGGTCAGGGCTATGAAAACAGCTCTGTAACAATTATAGAAACTCACCTTTAATGGAATCACAGTTGTTTTTTTAAAAGGAGGGGATGTTTTATAAAAGAATCTTTTTTCTGAATCTTCTTTCTTTTCTTTCTGAAAAGACAACAAAATTGCCTTCTTTGTCATTATCTGGAACTGCAAAAGCCATTACCTTTAATAAGAAAAAAAGCTGTGTAATTGGCATTCCTAGTAGATGGGGAGGAATGGGATATTTTATTAGATAAGTACACATTAAGATATATTGTTCTTCAAACTTGTGTTAATTAAGTAATTATGGAATTTGTTGAATGATTTGTCATATGTTTGCTCTTCATATTAGAATTTGTAATGAGGGGCACTGTAGAGAACCCAGTTATCTAAGGAGTCAGAGGAGAGCAGTTGTAAACATTCTACAAGTCCAGCAGGCCTTGGATGTATTAGTGGATAAAGGCAGCAGAGCCACATTTTTTTATGATTCAAGACTATTTGTAGCATGAGGTCTTGCAAATATGACTGAGATGTATCTAGCAAAGGACATGATACCAGGAGAGATTAAATTCAGTTCTTCCTGCTTGTCCGAGTCATTAGAACACCTGACAGGAGTGAAATATAAGCAAGTTAAAATCAAAAATGTTTTATTATCTTAGGGGAGGGAGAAAGAATCAGTCAGTATTGACACGAAAAAGTAACTAAATCATAGGAACAGCTGATAAGGAGTTTGATGGGTATTTTGTCCTTGGGAGAATGGAACTGGTGAGAGATATTAATAATGATGACAGTTTTCTTCTTGGTAATTTGTTCTCCCACAACCAATGGCAAAAGACAGCAGTCCAAGGTACAGCTGGACAGAGGGCAGCTAAAGATTCAGGCCAGGGTCACTTAGGAAACCAAAGATGAATAGAGCATCATGCAATCAGGACATCTGAAGGGATGCTGTTAATAGGGGAACATGCAAAGACCTTCTGCTCAGATACAGGTCGTAACTGATAAAACAGGGAAGCAATATAAAGTACAGGTGAGATGCCACTAAAGGAAAGGGGGATGCGATAGGGTAGGAGTAAGTCTCTCAGGTGTAATAGCACAAAACCACATTGTCAGCAATAGGGGCTATCAGCCAGAAGGGCACACGCTGGGCAGGGTGAAGATGACCAGTGGGGATCTTGGGGAGAAGAGCTGAGCTTGCAGGAAGGAGAAGTTTCAAGAGCATTCCAGGCAGGCAATGTTCATACAAGATGGGGTTCATTGTGACTAATTACGGCTGTCTTAAAGGTATACAATATAAGCCTTCAGTTTAAATTAGATTAAATATTTTGAATAATTACTTGAATTATTTTGAATAATACCAAATTATACTCAGAACTTTAAATGCAATTTAAATGTTTGTGGGAAATAATAAAGACATGACTTCCTCTTACAATAATAGCATGTTTTCATTATATTGTTCAGCATATTATCCAGCAGTCTCGGTATTACGTTAGCTCAGATGACTCTTATTAAAGCCAGGTTTGGGATCTGTGTGTGACAGATGAGCACAAAGCACTTCTACCTGCGAGTCAACAAGTTTTAATAATGCTGGCAGGAAATCAATTTAAGCTGTGCATTTCATATCACATTTCTGTAATATGATTAAAATATCACGTGCAATGTGGTGCTATAATTACATTCCTAGTCTGACATTATTGTGTTTGTAGTATTGGCTGAGTTTTTTCTTAGTATTAATGAAGGTGGGCAAATTCCAGTATCAAAATAGCTAGGAGCCACTTTCCTATAAAATAAGAAAGTAAATATTCTAGTTAAAGTTTTGTATGGATAATATCAGGAGACTATGGCAGTTAGGCTTCATGCAGTGCTATAGGAAATGAATATTATTAATGATTGAAAACAGCCAGCTTTTGATTAAAGCAAAAGAATCTTTTAAAGTTCTCGAGTATTATTATTTATTTTTTTTAAAAAAAAAAAGCTTTTATTATAAAATGTTTTTAGATTTGAAAGTATTAGTCTGCCCACTTGGAAAATATGAAATTATTTCAAATAGATATAGCTAAAGAAAAATTAGTTATAGGAAAATGGGCATGATTAGAACATTTGAACATGATGTAGTTAACTAATAGCTTCACATCATGCCAAAAAAAAAAAACAAACACATTTTTAAAGAGAATAAGGTCAAAGAGTCGTGAATGGAGCTTATGAAGAGGAGAATTTGTAAAACATTTTTGTAGGGTTTTTTTTCCTTGCTTGCATTCAAAACACTGTTTGCATGAACCTGTATTTCAGTAATATGTAGTATCCTTCAACAGGTTTCTAGCAAATCTTCCTATTTCAAATAATTTGGAGTTATATGTAACATAATTAATCTGCTTCTCCAAAATCAATTTATTTAAATTTCCGCACAGTATATTCTGCCCGTTGCCCAGTTTTCACTTTGACTAAATATTTTCTTCCTTTCAACATGAACTTTTGAAAAATTACTCTGCCTTTATATAAAACTAGATTAAATTAGGTCTTTTTTTAAATACTAATTTAAGTGTTTTGCAATATCAGGCCTTCAACATGGATGCCTGCTTACCTAAAATGCGTCTCATGTGCCATGCTTCCTCTGGTCCACTGCTTTATTCTCTTTTAAAATAGAGTTGTGTTGATTCTGCTGTTTCCATTGTTTCAGGCATTGTGTTGTGGACTGAAATGTTTCCTTTGGGTGTGCCATGTAAAACAGACAATTACTAGAGACCTCCCTTTGTGCTCAGAGCTAGACAGCTGACATATATCCCACATATTTTACTGTAATAGCACAAGTTGCTCTGCTCTTTGATTTCTCTCAGATGTAGGTCGTGCTCATTGTTTAACCTCTAGATACACAACATCTTTCTTAGTTCATTTCAGACAACCTAAATTTCATAAGCAATGCCCATTTCATTTGGGTATTGCTGTGTTTTATTTGTTGTCATTAAACATTGTTATTACAAGACATTCCTAAGGGAACCTTTCTCAGAGAGGTTTTGAACAGTTTATTGGTCTCAGGGACATCAAAGCAATCACAGTGGAAGTTTACTGAAACATTTTACAGTTATTATGAATAAAAAGGCATATGCATACTATTCTCTAGTTAAAAAACAGAAAGCAAACCCAAACTGGAATCATGATTAACAGCTTTTAGCCCAGGGTACTCCTACAGGAACATCTCAGTAAACCATACATATTTTTGACAGCTCTATTTTTTTGACAGCTAATATTGGCAGTAGGGAATTAATGATTTCAAGACTTTTTTTAATTAAATCAATGTTTTGTCTTTCCTGTAAAGTAAGTCTGAGAACTCTGTGGCATTAAGGAATATAAAACTCTTCAGAGTTTTCACTAAGTTAGTCTTAAAAGAGCTATAAGTTATTAACACTGCTAGATTGTGTAATGCGCCAAAACTTTCTAAATAATAAAATAACTGACACTACCTCCTTGTGCTATAAGAATTTCTTCATGTATGTCTTGACATAACCTCCCATGATAGATGTCTTTTTTTGTATACAATTGAATTTATGTTTAGAAACAGACATTTAAAAAAGAGAACCATCTAGATTCAGCAAAAGACTTGAGTGTGTTTCATGGTAGCCTAGGAAAAACATACCTTTGTGATGTCTTGGGTCAAGTTATTTGGCATTCTGTTGTTTCTTTTGTTTTATTGAAGAAACTGTTTTGGGCAGCAGCAATGTTCTTATCAGGTGCCATTTAGCTTTTTCTGGCTTAATAGAAATGGAAATAATAGGAATTTCTTTAAAAGCAAGGAACCTCAGTGATCATAATAAAATAATTGTACATTATTGTCAATAAATTATTTTTTAGAAACACTGTGAACTGTAGAAGTGATACATATCTTGTAGGCTTAAATTCCAGATTGTGTTATTTACGTGTTACCATGATTATTCTTTTCTTCTGATAGGAAGCTGCCACTAAAGGAGGAAAATGGGAAAGAAGCTTTAAATCCAGAAACCATAGAAATCAAAGTTGCTAATGACATCATCCAGTCAAAAGAAGATGATAGCAAAGCATAATAAGATAAACTACAGCTGTCTGGATAATGCATTTGGATCGAAGTAACCACGTGACCAAAACTTTGCAGCTGACCTTAATTTCTTAGGAAACTTAAGCTTGGAATAGCTAGTACATGTGTACATATGATGAAACAGTTTCTGTCTACAGTTCCTTTCTATTTTTTTGTTAATTGTTTTAGTATGTATTTTGCTGACACCAAGTCCCATGGTATAAATTTGAAAAATCTGCAGAATACGATCTTTAATTTATTATACGACTATATGACAAAGTACATCTATTTAGAAGAGTAGTTACAAAGCATCCCTAACCACAAACAACATATCAGGTCTCTCCAGATCTCATAGTGCAAGCTACATACATGAAGTGACATATACTACTATATTTGTTTCCGTTTACAATAAAACAGAAGTTTAGGTTGCCTTTAAAAAACAAAATAAAACAAAACAGTCTTGGTATAATGCTTAAGACCTTAGCACTAGCAGACCCTTGGTAGTCATTCCAGCTCTGCTTATAACTTGAAGCAAACAAAAATAAAAGACACTTTTCAGAATAGAACCAGCTCATACCTGCAGTTTTACCCAATTTATTTGGTAAAGTAATAAGCTGATAAACTTGATACACAGATTTAAATAAAATTGGCAGAATATTTCATAGCACTATACTGGCCTCATACTAATGACATGAGTGTGATTCTGAAAGGCTCCAGGATTTTCAGTGCTTCTAGTTTGCTGTATTAAAATTTTGGAGGTTGCATGTAAACTAAAATGTAGCAAAGGTATGAAAAGAAAGTTTTTCTGATCATAATCTTGGCTTCAAGCAAAACCTTACAATAAACACAAGCTCAAATTATTTGTTCCAACTTATTTTTATATATACATTATTCATTCTTTAAGTTCTAATTATTTAGTCAAGGGATAAAAGTTAACTGATTGTAATAGATATATTTTCTACCTAAATCAGTACATGAAATATTAAAAATTATCCCTTGTTCCTTTATGATTTCATACCCTTTGTCTTAATAAAAACTCTCTAAGAACAGATGGAAAGGAGGACTTAGGCTAAACAGTTAGAAACAGTTTTAAATTATTAGCATCTTATATTTGACTCAACTGAGCATTCCTTAAGAGTCCTTTTTATTTTTCTGGTTAACATGCACCACTCTGAAATTTGACTCATTTATTTGATGCAAAATTCATTCATATTTGTTATGATTGATTTAATAGTGCCACTAACTGGAGCAATATATTTTGTTTCCTTTTCAGCATAGTGCATCCACACATACCAAACTCTTCAAAGTCTTGCTTTGGAAGAAATAAAAAACTCATATAGAAAAGTAGGTTGAAAAATTCTAATTGTTAGTAGTAAATTGTAGAGTACCTTGTGGATTTTCTACATCTAAGTCATATCTGAAATTTAAGTCTAACTTTATGCAGCAAATTACATCCTTTCTGTGCTGTATCTGAATTTTGCTCATATTTGAAGTCATCATACTTCACAATTTTTCACAGAATGTCATCAACCCTTAGCTGATATTTTGTAGTTATGGCAAAGTTGTTGACTTTTGTGCAGTAAAGCTGAAAGCAAAACATAAAAGACTACCTTAAATCTGGGGAAGTGGCAGGCTGACCTTCTTGTTAATCCAAGCTTTAGTGCATTTTAAAGAGCTGAGGAGAATATATTTAATTCATAGATCTTTCTTATTTTTCAAAGCAAAGTCATTTTATGTTGTTGGTTTGTTTTTTTCTTACAACTTTTCCTCACTTTTGGAAATACCTACAATGAACCAAGTAATTGAGTACCAAGGCATACCACTGGTGTGTCTAGGATAAGAGGGCAAGTTCACACAAAACCAGTACCAAAATGAAAAGAACAGATAAGAGGAAATAGCAGTGTGGGATGAAAGTCATGAAGGAGAATAATTTAAAAATAAGAATTTAAAATGCTGCAAAGAAGTTTCTCTAAATGCTAAGACCATACTTGCAGGTGAGGGAAAGATGAAGTCATTCCTTTCATTTCCTCTCATTCTTGCTCCCTACATACTGAGCGGGCAAGTACTACCAAATAGCTACTTGTCTGTTAAATTGGTCCTCTTTCTTTCTAAATGCACAGTGAGCAGGACTGCTTCTTAACCTATAATTAAGAGAACCAGTTGTCTCATTTATATATATGAATACAGATTCTTTCTACAAAGTATGTATTTGCATTTGGGCTTTCTTTTTCTATCAAAATGCAAGGAAGGGACCTGGGAAATTCCAGCAGGTGAGAATAATGTGCTTGATGTGGCTTGAACATTTGCAGTCACCATCATCTTATGCTATGGTTTTACCAAGATGAGAATGAAGGTAGTAAACATCCTTTCCTCTTCTACTTGCCATCACAAAGTTAGGTAGTGCCATGCTTCTTCACTTAAGTCAAGCTTCACTAGGCAAATGGTGCCTTTTCAAAAGCCGGCAAAATCATTTGCACAACGAGGTTCCTATACAACATGGGCAGAGCTAACCATGTCCTGGCTCAACCATAGAGACATTTCAAATTTTAGTACTTATTGAAACTTACCCAAAAATCCTTCATGGCCTAACAGCTACATATCTGGGTTTGGTTCAGTTGTTCAGTTTGTTTTCATTACATGTCATCTAATTACAATGTGAAGAGATTGGAGAATTTAAGAGGTCTTGTCAGCACATTTAGTAGTAGTATGCCTGTGCTACTCTTTACAAGTAAAATATAGTGCAAAACTCTTTAAATACTGGAAGCAAAAGTGTTTTGCGCTATATCGGACTACAAATCAAAAGCTATTTTCAGGAGTGTTTTCTTCCTGCTATTAAGTCTCTCGTTAGTTGGGCTATGAGAGGGCTGAGAATGCAACAGTCCTAAATTACTGATGGACTGTTCCAAGCATACCTTTTGGTCTGTGGATTAATAGGTTATCTCTTGTGCTTTGTCTCTGTGCTCTGCAGGAGAAAGCCAAACTATAACTATGAAAGAATGCTTAAAAACACTGATAATTTCAAATATTTCCAAATGAGGGACAGCACATAGTAATTTGTAAGATATGTGTAGAACTGGAATAACATATTTTCTTTCTTTTCTTATTCTAGACTAAAAAGAAAAAAAAAAACAGGTATCTGTATAAATGTCACTTTTACTGTCTAAAAGTAATTTTAAGTGTTAGTATGAGATGTCAGAAGAGTTGACAAAATATAACTATTTGTAAAAGTAATCTGAATTGTTACACTAACATACTCCAGGGATGAGGGTGGGAGGGAGCCATTGAAATTCTTAATTATATGGAATGTGGCAGTGACAATCTCTCTTCAACACAAAATGAGGGGTAAAATTAACTAAAATTACTTAGAGCTTTTGGTATTTTTTTAGTAGACCTGAATTCTGATTTACCACTATAGTAGCAAAAGTTTTAAGCAGTGTTTTGCAATTTAGTATACAAATATACTCTTGAGAGTTTTTTCTGGTTTGGTTTGTTTACTTGTTTTATTCAACTTCTGAGATTTTTTTCTGTGGTTGCCGAAATATTTACTGTTCTGGTCATGCTAATGCATAATGTGACAAAGATTAATTTATTTAGGCCTCAGTCTTGCAAGAAATTTTATGTGACTGAACCCACTCCTCATCAGACACCTCACTGACATAATTTGTGTTAGTGTGAGTAGGAGGATGGATGTACTTTCATAGGGGAGCTTGCAGGATTGGGCCTATTTTCTATCTCTTCATAGATATATACAGCATATGTACACAGTGACAGTCATCTCCAAAGGCTGTTTGACAGCGAGTCCTGGTATAGTAAATTCCACCTGCTGTCTTGAGCCTCTGCATTGATGTTCATCCAAAAAAGTGGCTTTCTTTTATGATGGTAATTACTTCAATTATTTATTTAAGTGCCAATCATCAAACTGTAGTATAATAATCATGCAATTTTTCTGTTTCCTAGACTGGATAATGGAAATGTATTTGTGCCTTTTGATAGCATGCCACTCTGCTTTATTAAAGAAAAATCTTCAATAATTTGTCTACAAAGCCTGTTTAAAATATTTGAAATCTTTACCATGACATACTTTTCTGCTCAGATATGCTCAAATACTCACTTCAAGTAAACTGGAGATAATATTCTCAAATCACGTAAATAGTTGAAACAAAACGTTTGCAAAAATCTATTGAGATCACAGTTCTAGTGAGGGTCACAGTGGGTGTATTACTGCTGAAAATATTCAAGTAGATGGAGTACGTGCTGGGTGTATAGGGGTGTTTTGACCAATTTGTCAAGTTGAAGAGTCAGATAGAAAATCTCCTTAGTTCTCTTTGGATACTTAGACCTAAAATATTAAGGTCCTTTCTCAAATCTGAAATATGATGAGGAGAATCTTCCCACCATTTTACCTCTGGAGTAAAAAACTACAGTGGGTATTTGTTTTGCAGTCATTTGTGGCCTCACCATCTCTGTGTAAGCTGTCATAGGAAGTGATATCTTTGTAAAGTAGTTGTTGTGTCTGATGGGTGACATTTACTCCTGATTAAAAGGCCTCCAAAAAGACCATTTACTGAAAAAGCTCATGACCACTATTACGAATTTTCTGTGGAGGGGTGTTGAGAGCACTGCAAGAAGGGCCATTGTGGAATCCATGTCCCTCTGGGCTTTAAGACAAAAACTGACTTCAGTGGGGCCTAAATTTCATCTGTCCATCTCAGCAAGGATCTGTATAACCTCAGTTGATTGAGTTGCTTTTGTAAATCAGAATTTAATTGTAAATGGAACTGCAGTGCCCTGCCAGGCTCTTGTTAACCTTTTACACAGAGAAGGTTTTCCTATCAGAAGTGTGTAATGGTCAGGAAACATTGATAAAAATATCTGATTACAGTTGGATCCCATACATTACTATATGTCCAGAAAAAAAAAAAAAAAAAATAAAACATCCCTCTAAATAATTCAATGTGATTGTGATACTTCTTTAGGCAAAGATTAAAATATTCTAAGGAATGTTTCTTCTTAATACCTTTGTTTAACTTCAGGTACTTGTGCTGATTGATGCAAAGCCACCATGTTTAAATAAATCTTTTTTAAAAAGGACCCACCCCCTTTTTCAGATATTTTCATATCATTTTCTAGAGTTACCCAATCCACTTGACAGCAGTTCTGTAGTGGGTGGAGGAAAACCACTCACTAAGTTTTAAGTGATCTTCAATAT